TTATTACGTAAGTAGAGCCGCTAGTGTTTAGTGCATCTTTTGGTTGTACTCAAGTGTAGTAGACCTTATTCAGCCATTACTTGGTGCTCTGGTAGCTAAATTCGCATGGATAATATTTGCCTGGTAAATGCGATTAATTATCTAGAAGCAGCATTTGCAATACTCGGCTTGAGGAAAAGCATTTATTGCTTAGAATTGTTTGGTTAAAAGTGACTCCTACTCGTCCAGGGATACCCCAAAACCCTATAATCCAAACTTCACCAGAGATTCTCCTGAAAAGCTTGCGCTTTTGGATGTTTTTATGTATTTGTGAACTGGCCTTCGCTAAGTAGTTTTCTAGGATTCTTGTGCATTTGTTAAGCCTGATTGCGCAAGTTGCCTTTTTCAAGCATAGTATATATGTGGTCTTTATTGAATACTTCAGACATGTTTGTTTCATCGTTATGTAAGTAGAACCGCTTCTATTTCCATTATTGTGCATTTTTAAGCTTGCTTATGCAAATTGTGCTTTTCAGACATAGTATATAAGTGGTCTTTATTGAATACTTCAGCAATCTTTGTCTCATTGTTATGCAGGTAGAACCGCTTCCATTTCCGTTAGTGTTTATTTCGTATTGGGTTGAGTATGGTCCTTTAAATAGTATTCACTTGGGTCAAATTGGGCTATTTGCTTAAGAATTCCTCTAGTAGTTAAATTCGCATAGAATGAATACTTCAAAAAAAGGATTGTTTCATGAATATGTAAACATAAGGTGTTTCATTTGACTTTGCAGATAGTATTTCAATAATACTTTGCCTGGTATAAACACAACTGTTTCAATGCATGAGTTGCTCAACAAAGCACTATTTGCCCTTTAAACCACACTTTGCCATATTTTTTTGTTGAATATGGTGCTTCTTTCGTATTTTGGTTGAGTATGGTCCTTTAAATGGTATTCACTTGAGTCAAATTGGGCTATTTGCTTAATAATTGCTCGAGTAGCTAAATTCGCATAAAATGATTATTTCAAAAATAAAAACGATTCATGAATATGTAAACATAAGGTATTTCAGCGGACTTTTCAGAGAGCATACTTTGCCTAGTACAAACACAATTGTATAAATACAGTAGTTGCTCAACAAAGCATTATTTGCACTTTAAACGCACACTTTGCCATATTTTGGTTGAGAATGGTGTCTATTTCGTATCTTGGTTGGGTATGCCTCGTACAAACACACTTGTATAAATAAATTAGTTGCTCAACAAAACATTAATTGCCCTCTAAACGCACAATTTGCATAGAAAGCCACAAATCTAAACATCTAAAGACAGCATTGTCCGCTTCAGATTCAAAATGTAGATTCTTCCAATGCTGGCTTATCGGGGTCTGTGAGGTGGGTGTCCCAGTAACTGTCCTTCAATACCCGGTGATTAACTACGCGACTTTTGGGCCTTCTTTGTTATATTTTGTTAAAAAGGCCTAAAAAGGCCGAAAAAGGGTAGGTCGCTGGGGGGGGGGGGTAGCATATATATATATATATATATAATTCGATTCCGTGCTCGTATTGTGAGGGGCTAGTGATCGCCCTAGAGGTTTGTCGTATGTCCTCCCGATTCTTGTTCCTGAGATTTGGTAGGGGCCTAGAGCTTTGTCGTATGTCCCCTCCTTTCGCCCCTTCGTGTTGTAGGGGTTTTGTTGGGCCTTGAAGGCTTGTCGTGTGTCCCCTTTCTTCGAGCTTGGAGAATTGAGGAGTGTCGAGATGATTACCATACATCATTTGCTTCGTACTATGTGGGGTTAGTGACTGCCCTAGAGGTTTGTCATATGTCCCCTTCCTTCGTCCCTTCGCGTTGTATGGGTGGTAAGGGTTTTGTGAGGGCCCTGGAGGCTAGTCGTATATCCACTTTCTTCGAGCTTGTAGGGTTTGGGGGGAGCGTCTAAAGTCTAGATGATCGTCATATATGATTTGCTTCCGTGCTCAAACTATGAGGGGCTAGTGGCTGTCCTAGAGGTTTGTCATTTGTCCCCCCCGTTTCCTTGGTCCTGTGATTTGGTAGGGGCTTAGAGGTTTGTCATACGTTCCCTCGCTTCGTCCTTTCGTGTTGCAAGGGTTTTGTGAGAGCCCTGCAAATTTGCCGTGTGTCCCCTTTCTTCTCACTTGTAGGGTTTGGGGAGCGTCTAGACGACTGACATATAATTTGATTCCGTGCTCGTATTGTGAGGGGCTAGTGACTGCCCTAGGGGTTTGTCGTATGCCCCCTCCCCCGCTTCCTTGTTCCTGTGATGTAGTAGGGGCCTACAGGTTTGTCGTATGTCCCCTGCCTTCGCCCCTTCGTGTTGTAGGGGTTTTGTTGGGCCTTGAAGGTTTGTCGTGTGTCCCCTTTCTTCGTGCTTGGAGAGTTTGAGGAGCGTCGAGATGATTACCATACATCATTTGCTTCCGTGCTCGTACTATGTGGGGTTACTGACTGCCCTAGAGGTTTGTCGTATGTCCCCTTCCTTCGTCCCTTCGCGTTGTATGGGTGGTAAGGGTTTTGTGAGGGCCCTGGAGGCTAGTCGTATATCCACTTTCTTCGAGCTTGTAGGGTTTGGGGGAGCGTCTAGAGTCTAGATGATCGTCATATATGATTTGCTTCCGTGCTCAAACTATGAGGGGCTAGTGGCTGTCCTAGAGGTTTGTCATTTGTCCCCCCCGTTTCCTTGGTCCTGTGATTTGGTAGGGGCTTAGAGGTTTGTCATACGTTCCCTCGCTTCGTCCTTTCGTGTTGCAAGGGTTTTGTGAGAGCCCTGCAAAATTGCCGTGTGTCCCCTTTCTTCTCACTTGTAGGGTTTGGGGAGCGTCTAGACGACTGACATATAATTTGATTCCGTGCTCGTATTGTGAGGGGCTAGTGACTGCCCTAGGGGTTTGTCGTATGCCCCCTCCCCCGCTTCCTTGTTCCTGTGATGTAGTAGGGGCCTACAGGTTTGTCGTATGTCCCCTGCCTTCGTCCCTTCGTGTTGTAAGGCTGATAAAATTTTTCTGAGGGCCCTTGGAGATTTGTCGTATGTCCCCACGCTTAGTGTTCCTGAGATTTGGTAGGGGCCAGAAATTTGTCGAATGTCCCCTCCTTTCGTCCCTTCGTGTTGAAATTGCTTTGTTGGGGGAAGGTTTGTCGTATGTCACCTTTCTTTCTTCTCAGAGGGTTTGGGGATCTTCTAGAAAACTGTCATATATCATTTGCTTCCGTGCTCGTATTATGAGGGGCTGGTGTTTGTCATAGAGGTTTGTCGTATGTCCCGCCGCTTTCTGTTCCTGCGATGTGGTAGGGGCCTAAAGAGGTTTGTCGTGTGCCCCCTCCCTTCGTCCCTTTGAGTTGCAAGGGTTTTGTTGGACCTGGAAGATTTATCGTATGTCTCCTTTCTTCGTGCTTGTAGGGCGTGGGGAGCGTCTAGATGATTATCATATATGATTTGCTTCCGTGCTCGTATTATGAGGGGCTAGTGACTGCCCTAGAGGTTTGTTTTATGTCTCCCTGCTTCGTGTTCATGTGATTTGCTAGGGTCCTGGAGATTTGTCGTATGTCATTTTACCATATACGAAATTAGATACAATCCCTTCGTCCCTTCGTGTTGTAAGGGTTTCGTGAGGGTCCTAGAGGTTTGTCGTATGTGCCCTTCCTTCGTCCCTTCTTGTTGTAAGGGTTTTGTGAGGGCCCTGCAAATTTGCCGTATGTCCCCTTTCTTCGTGCTTGTAGGATTTGGGCAGCGTCTAGATGATTGTCATTATCATTTGCTTCCGTGCTCGTACTATGAGGCGCTAGTAACTGCCCTAGACCTTCAGGGCCCTCACAAAACCCTTACAACACGAAGGGACGAAGGGAGACGACATACGACAAACCTCTATCATCTAGATGCTCCCCAAACCCTACAAGCCAGAAGAAAGGGGACATACGACAAACCTCCAGGGCCCTCACAGAACCCTTACAATAGGAAGGAATGAAGGGAGGCGACACACTACAAACCTTTAGGCCCCTACCAAATCACAGGATCACGAAGCGGGGGCGTCATCTGACAAACCTCCAGGCCAATCACTAGCCCCTCATAATACGAGCGCGGAAGCGCATGATATGTGATTATCATCTACACACTCCCCAGACCCTACAAGCACGAACAAAGGGGACATACGACAAACCTCCAGGACCCTCCCAAAACCCTTACAACACGAAGGGACGAAGGGAGGGGACACACGACAAACCTTTAGCCCCCTACCAAATCACAGGAACACGAAGCGGGGGGACATACGACAAACCTCTAGGGCAGGCACTAGCCCTCATAATACGAGCACGGAAACACATCATATATGTTAATCATTTTGATGCCCCCCCAAAACCTATAAGGAAGCACACAAACCTCCAAAGCCCGTACAAAACCCTTACAACACGAAGGGACGAAGGGAGGGGACATACGACAAACCTCTGGCCCCTACCAAGTCACAGGAAACACGAAGCAAGGGTGCTTGCCTAAGTCTGGCTGTTGGCCGGCTGGATCTACATTTACTGCTACTACTACTACTACTACTACTACTACTACTACTACTACTACTACTACTACTACTACTCCTACTACTCCTACTACTACTACTACTACTACTACTACTACCACTACTACTTTCAAGAAGTTTTGTAAATAGTAAACAAAGGGGCGTGCCAAATAGACCCTAAAGGTCCATGCCACTTAGGGCTTAGGGGTTTAGGGTTTAGGGTGCTGTAGGCTTGCATGGAGATTTAGAGAGAGCGCTATGGAATCCGGCATTGATATGTCTGCGGCGGTCGGTTACGTGCTTCAAACGTGCTCTACACATAAAGGATGCGACGAACATGCTTTGAGGTTGGAGGGTCGGAAGGCTCAGTTCGTCATGGGCTACCCGAAACCCCATCATGTCCAACTCGACCTCCTAATGCTAAACCCTAAACCCTCAACTCTAAACACTCAAGCCCAAAGCCTAAACCCTAAACCGGCATCTGCCGCCAAAGAATCATGTCGGGGAGGGCGCTCAGGTACTGAACGGGCTGCTGGTCCACCACAAGCAGTGCGTCATATCCTTGCAACAAATTTCCTACAGAGGTTTAGGGTTTAGGGTTTAGGGTTTAGGGTGTAGGGTGTAGGGTTTAGGGTTTAGGGTTTAGGGTTTAGGGTTTAGGGTCTTGCAAGAAGGGCCGAAGTATCCCCTGAAAGGTGCAGGATATGATCTCCTTTAAGCCCATGGGGTTGAGGCTTTAGGGCCTCTTGCGGCTTTAAACCCACCAGCCTGTTGGGACATGAGTAAGACTTAGAGGATGTTGGGCTTTGGGAGTGGGAGTTTGGTGTCCTAAGCCCAACAGGGTTAGTTTAGGGTTTAGGGTTTAGGGTTTAGGGTTTAAGGTTTAGGGTTTAGGGCTAGGGTATAGGGTTTAGGACTTAGGGTATAGGGTTTAGGGCTTTCAGGGTTTAGGGTTTAGGGCCTCTTAAACCCCTCCTGCCTGCGTCTCTCGCCCGGCGGGCCTTGCGCGCAAATGCGCACCTGGTCCGGGCATCGATCAAAGGGGTGGAGTAATATAGGGGCCTCAATAAGTAGAAAACGGCCTTGGGGGTCTTATAGTATAATTATAGCAGGGGGTCATAGGGGAATACAAGAAGTAGGAACGCCGACCCCTCCAGTACTCCCTACAACTAGACCCAAGAGTAATTGGAGTAGAAAGGGTACCCTTTTTGGATAAAGGGCTTATACGTTGAGAACCTAAAGCCCCCAAAATTGGGAATGAGGGCCTATGCTGGGTCCTAGAAAAACAAGCCCAACTGATTGGATTTAGGGGTGTGTAGACCGCTACACCGAGAATTGCGGGCGGGGGGGGAAAGTACACCCTAAACCGTAAACCCTAATGACACGGAATTCTTTAGTTCCCTTTTCTCGAGGTTCCCATTTAAAGGGCTAGGTTTTAAGCAACCTAGGAGTCACTTCCCGTTGTGCATTCTGCAAGCATCATGGAGCCTCCCCCCCATCAACCCCAAGCCCTAAACTCCAAAGGCTGAGTACGACACTAAAAATGCGTGTAAACACCCGAGGACCTAAGCCCAAAACCCAAAACCCGAAACCCCAGGACCCCAGCGGTATGCGAGCCGTCTTCCTTTGAAGTCGAAGCGCTTCCCCCGACGGAGAAGAAGTACGAAGGGGCCCCCACCGGGAACCGCCGGCGGAAGATACCCGAAGCCTTTGCTGCTTGGGGGAAATCACGCAGTGTCCGAAACACTTGAACCCAGGGCTTCATATGGGTTTGCTAGATTTGGGATTTGAACTTTAAGCTGGGCTAAACCCTAAACCCTAAACCCTAAACCCTGAACCCTAAACCCTAAACCCTAAACCCTGAACCCTAAACCCTTGACCCTAAACTCTAAACCCTTAACCCTTAACCCTAAATCCTTAACCCTAAACCCTAAACCCTAAATCCTTAACCATGACAGTCAGGAGGCAGCCGTCAGATGGGTGGGAGTCCAGGCTGATCAGCTTGTGGCTCCTGGGATGGACAGAAGGTTTCAGGCTTGTGGTTCAGGGTTTAGGGTTTAGTGTTTAGGGTTTAGGGAAACTCAAGTGTTCCCGGAAGAACTTGAATCTTCGGCCTTTCTGCCTAGTGCTCATGGCACCTGTTGTACAAAAACTCAACATAATCCCAGAAAATGGCAAACCTCAATTCACTTGGAACCCAGAGCTGGCACTGTACATGCACGCATCATTGCATAATCTACTATCTGCAGAAGAACTCCCCAACAAAAAATAATCCCTGTACGACCCTTGTAAAGAAGAGTACATATTTTTGAGGGGTTCTAAAGCACGCAGCAGGAAGTGGTGGGAACTCCAAACCTCTAAGTCCCAATCCACAAGCATGTACAACCCCAATGAAGGTTAAGGCTTAGGGTTTAGGATATTTTGTTTGCTATGCGCTGCCGACAGTGCTTTGATGCAGCGGGAAACGTGAAGGGGCGCGCGTTGGCGCAGTCGTCAGGCACCCTAAACCCTGACCCGAAACCCTAAATTGGGGTCTGAGCGAAGTAACTGCTTTAGACCCAACAAGTCCCATATATGTATAGATGGGGTGTTTACGAAAATCAGGGACCCTCAATATAGACCCCCAAATAATAGGATTCCTTTCAAAAAAGGACCCCAATAAGGTGCCCCTAATTTCGGAAACCCCCATATTAGTGGGAAGTATATATATATATATATATTAACGAAGTAGGGTTTATATTCCTTGTACTGCGGACTCGAGGTCGTGAATCATATGAAGGTGAGACAGCTTAGATTTGTACTAAGCACGGTTAGCAAGCACACAACATCAGTGGTCGAGGACGTGAGATTACCGGATCAATGGTAAAGCTTCGCAAGGACAGAGGAGATAGAGTCAATGGTTTCATCAAGTTTCATCAAAGCGGCGTGTTGAACTCAATCAGCGAAAGTGTGTGCATCAGAAGCACAGCTTTGAAGCAAAAAACATTGAAGAATGTCAGGAGCTTTGCAGAAGAACATTTGTCGCTTACAGAAATGACAACGGAAGTCCATTGTCCAATCAGAGGAAAGGATGCGTGGAAGGCGTGCATCGTTTAAATGAGCAAGCTCCATAACCTTGAGAAATGCTTTTTGAAGCATTCATATCTCCTCTTGGCCGCAATGAACCTTTTAGTGGTGCCACGCAATTTGCACCTGATGTCAACAGGATCCATGTTGCACCAAGTTGACAGAGGCACTTGCGAAATGCAAGCAATTTCTTGAAGTTGAATAGGCAAAAGCTTGCAATCCGATCCGATACCTGCGTAAACCACATATTCCTTGTATCCCCAAAAGGACACCCAATTTTTGCACTCACCAATATTAAAACGGAACCTTATATACACTCACCAATAACAGTAAGAAAAACCCTGGTTCATATATGTATATATATATATATCTCCCTCAGTTCGAGGTGGGGCGGTATGGTCGAGGTGGTGTTGCATAAAACGTAGGGTTTAGGGCTTTGGGTTCAGGGTTTATAGGGTTTAGGGTATAGGGTTTATAGGGTTTAGGGTTCAGAGATTAGGGTTTAGGATGAACAGGCCCAGGCTCAGGTACTCCGGCGCCTTCTTCCAGCTCTCCGCGTCCCGCTCGCAACGCTGACCACGCCGTGGGTCGGCAGTGCAAGCCTCTGCGTGGCTGCTTATATCAGGGTTCAGGGTTCCTCGCTTGGCTCTACGCCCTAAACCCTAAACCCTAAACCCTAGACTGCAAGTCTATAAGCCCCAAAACGCCACTCCCTCGTCCCACTCATGCACGCGCTAGCTCAAGCCCTGAAACCCCAATTCCCTAACCCTAGTTCCAGGCACCAAGTAAAACGCACTATGCACATCCCGCAAGAGCGACAGCTTATTGGGAGTGACCCTAGGGTTTAGGGTTTAGGGTAAACCCTAAACCCGAAAACCTAAAAACCCTCAAGCAGTCCCAGGGGCAGGGAGGACGTTGTTCCAGGCAGCCGGCTTCACTGCGTATCTGAAGTGACGTCTCTTTGGTCAGGTCTTCAGGTTTCGGGTTCAGACCCTGAGTCGCTGGTTAAGATAGGGTTTAGGGTTTAGGGTTTAGGGATGTGCATTCTTGCTGCAACAGTCTTCAAGAAGGTTCTAGCAAGGGGCGGTGACATCTACGGCTACGAGTACCGGTTGGGACACGCTTGCATGCTGACAATCGATCGCATGGAATTTCGGTTCCTTACATAGAATTAGGGAATTAGGTACCCTACGTCCCCCTGGAGAACCCTTTCAAGGATGACATCGGGTAAATACTGCTCTACTTCCACACTAAGAATCACTAAGGAGTTCCCCTTCCACTGGCCACGAATACCTCGCGCGAGCCAGCCAGAAAGGCAATATTCAGAGAGGTACAGTACCTCCCAGTGTGAAAGAGAGAGGGAGGACAACAAGCCAGAGCGGGGTACAGAGATGCGTTACTGGAGGTTCTTGCATGCACACATATGAGGCCAAGCACGTTTTGAGATCTGGGAGCCTGTTTAAGCTGTTTTGGACCTACATAGACCCCACAAGTATCGATTTTTGTTGTATGTTTAGGCTGTAAGGGTTCAGGGTTTAGGGTAACCCTAAGAAAGAGATAAAGAGGGCACGGCTCGCAGTTCCTATCGTACATGGTTGCTGAGTTCATAAGCCCCCAAAAAGTGTACTTTCAGTCCTATAGGGGATTATAGTATCCCAAAAAGTGTAAAGTGTGCTCACTCAGCTACTAAGGTAACCTTCTTGGCAGCCCAGTAACCATCTTATGAATAAAGGGCACCCTTTTTGGGGCTGGTTACTTTATAAGGGAACCCAAAACCAAAAAAAGAAAAGCGTACCACTGGGCGACTGGATGGAAAGCTTCGGCCTTTCACAAATGTACTTGGCCCCCGCGCTGCACTGGGCCCGGCGACGTCACAATCAGGGTCCTTGGGCATGAATGGGAAGGGGAAGGGGTTTGGGTTTAGGGTTTAGGGTTTATGGTTTAGGGCTTAGGGTTTAGGGTTTAGGGTTCAGGGTTCAGGGTTCAGGGTTTAGGGTTTACAGTAGGGTTTAGGGTTTAGGGCTCGGGGTTCGGTACCCTCCCTAAATTTGAACCCTCAACCCTCAACCCAAAAGCCTAAACCTAGGCTGGGGTTCCGACCCTCAACCCTTAACCCTAAACCCTGAGCTGAACATTGTAGGACTTCGAAACGTCAATCCCTACAATGGGGAATACCGGAACCCAAACCCTAAGCACTGAACCCTTGACCTGCAGGCCTAAACCAAACGACACACACACACACACCTAAGTCCTAAGCCCTAAGCCCGACCCAAAATTTCCTAAACCCTAAACCCTAAACCCTAAACCCTAAACCCTAAACCCTAAACCCTAAACCCTACACCCTACACCCTAAACCCTAAACCCTAAACCCTAAACCCTAAACCCTAAACCCTAAACCCTAAACCCTAAACCCTAAACCCTAAGCCCCAAACCGACCTAGGCTCGATGGGATGAACACCGCCAGGGTTTGAAAAGCCAGTCGTGTCGCTGTGATCTTGCCTTCCAAGAGACTTGGAGGTTTAGGGTTTAGGGTATTTAGGGTATTTAGGGTATTTAGGATATTTAGGGTATTTAGGGTATTTAGGGTATTTAGGGTATTTAGGGTATTTAGGATATTTAGGGTATTTAGGGTATGTAGGGTTTAGGGTTTAGGGTGGACCCCAATACACAAGAAACAACAACAACAACAAATAGTAGGATTCCCTGAGAAATACAGACCACAATAAGGTACCCCGAACTCCGGCAACCTCCAAGAGTTCAGTTCAGGGTTTAGGGTTGAGTTTTCAAATTTAGGGAGGGTACCGAACCCCGAGCCCTAAACCCTAAACCCTGCTGTAAACCCTAAACCCTAAACCCTAAACCCTAAACCCTAAACCCTAAACCCTAAACCCTAAACCCTAAACCCTAAACCCTAACCCTAAACCCCAAACCCAAGGCCCCGAGACTCTCAAACCCAGTCGACCGAAGGATCCAACAAGATCAAAGGACCCTAAACCCTAAACCCTAAACCCTAAACCCTAAGACCCAACTTTACTTGTCATAGGGTTTAGGATGGCAAGGTTGGGCAGGCTGTGGGTTAGGGTGTAGTTTAGGGTTTAGGGTTTAGGGTTTAGGGTTTAGGGTTTAGGGTGTACGGCAGAGGCTCGGAAAAAAAAAGGCGGCCGGTTGCGGCACGACGCTGCCTGAAGATCCCCAGCCTTACCCTAGGGGTCCTTGTACCTTCTTATTCTGTACTTGGGCTCTGAAGTCCCCAAATAGGAGGTACTTTAAGGCCCAAGTATTCCCTATGTAGGTACATATAGACCCTTTGGGTGTACTTAGCCTGCTGAGTTCCTAGGCCCCCCCCCAAAATGTGCACTTTCAGTTCTCTAGGGAATTATCGCATCCCAAAAAAGTGCAACGTGTACTCATTCAGCTACTAAGTGTAGGTTACTTCAGGATCTCAAGAGGGTTTACAATCGCAATACCTGCAACAAATCGTGGGGGTTCGGGAGGTGGGGGCAGACCCTAAACCCTAAACCCTAAACCCTAAACCCTAAACCCTAAACCCTAAACCCTAAACCCTAAAGATCATGCAGGTTGCTGACATCCGACGCGTAAGCTGGAGTTCCATCCATGTAGTTTCCGGCTGTATCTTGCGCAAAGCAGTACCTCGGATACCCTTTAAACCTTCTTCAAAACACATCTCGAAATTCCGAACCTTGTTGGGCGGAACCACATGGGACGTTACAAAAGGTAAATCCAGTGGGATGTGCCCCCTTATTCTAACAGTACTCCCTATTATAAGCGCTACTAAGGATGGTTAGAAAACGGGGAACATCCCAAAATATAGCTTCCACCCATCCACTTCAAGCGACAGTTCGTACGTAGTACCTTCCGTCAGCCCTGCCAATCGCATGGAGCTCTGGTAGCCTTAGTTGCTGAGTTCATAAGCCCCCCAAAAGTGCACACTTTTAGTTCTACATCGTACCCAATAAAGTGTAAAAGTGTACCCATTCAGCTCTGGTAGCTCATAGCCGCTTGCACAGTCGTCGTGGCCCAGGAGTCCACGTTTGCGTTGAGCAGGATCTGTGCAGCACATGCCCGAACCCCCCCCCCCCGGGGGGGGCCCCCCCCCCCCCCTCCCCCCCCTCCGCCCCCCCCCCGCCCCCCCCCGCCCCAGCCCGCCCATCCCTCCCCCACCCCCCCCCCCCCCCCCCCCCCCCCCCCCCCCCCCCCCCCCCCCCCCCCCCCCCCCCCCCCCCCCCCCCCCCCCCCCCCCCCCCCCCCCCCCCCCCCCCCCCCCCCCCCCCCCCGCCACCCCCCCCCCCCCCCCCCCCCCCCCCCCCCCCCCCCCCCCCCCCCCCCCCCCCCCCCCCCCCCCCCCCCCCCCCCCCCCCCCCACCCCCGCCCCCCCCCCCCCCCCCCCCCCCCCCCCCCCCCCCCCCCCCCCCCCCCCCCCCCCCCCCCCCCCCCCCCCCCCACCTCCCCTCCCCCCAAAGAAATTACAAGCAAGCCTCCCTAAACCCTAAACCCTAAACCCTCAACCCTCAACCCTCAACAAAAACCCCTCAACTCTGAGCATCCCCCTGCCTCAAATCCTCAATCCAGCTTCCCCCCCCTCCCCCCAAAGAAATTACAAGCAAGCCTCCCTAAACCCTAAACCCTAAACCCTCAACCCTCAACCCTCAACAAAAACCCCTCAACTCTGAGCATCCCCCTGCCTCAAATCCTCAATCCAGCTTCCCCCTGCCTAGGCCCCCCCCTGGGATCCTTGCAATGGAGCCCTGCCAGTAAGCTCTGCGAGGTCAAACTCGATACCCAACCCTGAACCTCACATTAGGGTTTAGGGTTTAGGGTTTAGGGTTTAGGGTTTAGGGTTTAGGGTTTAGGGTTTAGTGTGTAAGGTTTGGGAAAAGCAAGACGGGATTAAGGCGACCCCGTACCCACCAGGGCCTAGCTTTCGGGTCCACAAAGCCAAAATATTTCTGAACTTATTCTTGAACTATATAGGGATCCTGACTAGTGAGCTGAGGCGGACTCGTTAAATAAGAAGAATGGGGCCCATAAACCCCAAACCCCTAATCGTCACCTCTGCGGACGTCGGAGTGGTCGTACCAGAACCGGAATCCTCCTTCGCCACGCACCAAACGGTGCCATCCTCATTCCTTCCATATTGCTCTCGCGGGCCCGGGCAACATGCAAAAACAGTACTCGCTGACGCTGAGGTCTACCTGGGACCCCTTTACCTACAGTCTTATGGGGTATACCTGCTAGTCAAGGGGTAATTAGGTACAATAAACTAAAGAGAGGCCCAGGTAGGGTTTTACACATCGGAGCAATCCAAGATTAAAACATGTGCAAGAACAGCCTAGACTCAGCTGCACGTAGACGGTCACTGCGGTGCTCTCGACGACGTAATTCGGTGGCACATAGCCTGGGTTTAGGGTTTGGGGTCTAGGGTTTAGGGTTATGAGCCGTACCCGGTCTCACTACCCTCGTACTCCCCATTGATGGGAATACCTGACCCGCCCTTGACCCCTGCCGTCCTGTCTGCCCTGGCCGCTTCTCTGACACCCCCCCCTGCGACCCGATCTCCATCTGGTGGCCTGTGAAAGCTCAAAAGGGTTTCTGGTCCATAAACTTGAATAGAGGTTCCAGTAGTGTAGGGTATGTGACCCAGTTTTCAGGTTCATTTAGTCCACAAGGCCCTGATATCGACAAGCAGCTGAAAACTGGCGCCACATAGTCACCTCCCGTTGCAGTGGCAACGACCTGCTTCGTGGCCGCAATTTGGCCTTGCATGCGGCTTTAGGTTTTTTTGATTTATAGGGTTTATTGGGCTTCTAGGGTTTATTGGGTTTGTAGCGGATATTGGGTTTATGGGGGGGGGGGGGGGGCACGTAGGAAAGCTCAAGCCAGAGCCTCTTCCGCTCAGCCCTGCCGAGGGGGGAGGGGTTGACGTTTGAAACCCTAAACCCTAAACCCTAAACCCTAAACCCTAAACCCTAAACCCTAAACCCTAAACCCTAAACCCTAAACCAAATTCAATCCTTTCTTCACTTCGATTCCCGGCCTCATCCCCGTATGTCCTGCAGAACCCCTGAGCCGAGACCCCACACCAAAACCCTAAACCACCCTAAGCCCGAAACCATCCTAAGCCCTAAGCCCAGCCCTAAACCCTAAACCCTGAACCCTGAACCCTAAAACCCTGAACCCTCACACCCGGAAGGCCCCCAAAGCTTCAAACCTGAACCCCCCCCCCCCCCACCCTACCCTAAATGCTGAACCTTGAATCCGAAGCCACACCGAAACAGGGTTTAGGGTTTAGAGTTTAGGGTTTAGGGTCACGCCAAATCCTGAAGCCTCAAGCCTTGCAGCCCTGAACCCTGACCCTAGGCTTTAGGGCTTAGGGGTTTGCGGGTTTAGGGCTGAGGGCTGAAGCCTGAGGGTTTAGGGTTTAGCGGTTTAGGGTTTAGGGTTTAGGGTTGAGTTTAAACCTCAATTTGAGGTACAAACGACCTTGCACCAGGAGGTATTCACTTCTCTGGCGAGATGTAAAGGGTGCGGCTTGCATGTCGTGACTTTCGGCTAGCACTCGGTCCCATGTAATATAGGGGTCGGAATGTTTACAATAGTATTACCTTATGGTCCCTTTATAAGTATACTATAATAACCCCAAACCCTATTCGAATGATTAAGGCCGTATATTACCCAGATTGCTGGGGCTATACCCGGTGCTTAGGATGTCATAAATACCATGCTGGCCGAATTTGTAGGGTTTGGGTTGCACGACAATGCATGTACGGCCGGGTGCCAGGTGCTCAACACACAAACTGGCCCGGCAATAAACCCAGCCGAGAGTCTAAGTGTGAACCCGTTCACGACGCTGTCCTCCGCGTAACCTAGGGTGCTTACCCTAAGGGTTTCGGGTTTACGGTTTAGGGTTTAGGGTTTGGGGTTTAGGGTTGAGGGTTTAGGCTTTGGGGTTCAGGGTTCAGGGTTTTTGGATGACAGGAGCCACTTCGTTGAAAGAGTTGTTTTGAAGAGCCAGGTTTCCATCCTCCTTGTCTGAATCACTACGGCAGACGCTGCACCAAAGGCTCCCCTACTTTCTGGGTGGGGGGGGGGGGGAAAGATCTTAAGCAAACTAGGCTAGGCTTGTAACACACGCTAGACTGCACCTGGACCCCCAAAGCAACTTGAAATACCCTAAACCCTAAACCCTAAACCCTAAACCCTAAACCCTAAACCCTAAACCCCAAACCCTACTCCAACCCGAATGAATCTTCAAGCTTCCTTCGGTAAGCTCCGCATACTTCGGGTGTGAAGGTCGACCCTGCCAAGAAAAAAATGCTTTGGGACTTTTGCGATAATAAGGGTTTAGGGTTTAGGGTTTAGGGTTTAGGGTTTAGGGTTTAGGGTTTAGGGTTTAGGGTAAGGGACCCCTAAATTAAAAAAAGCCCCCCAAATAGTAGGGTCCCCCCTTATAATAAGCACCCCAACAAGGTACCCCGAACGTCGTAAACCCTAAGCCTTAGACCCAAAAACCCCCCGCTTACTTCGAGCATCCCAATCCTACCCGATGAGGGAGCCATCCTGCAACTTTCAGAGTTACGGATACTTCGCCGCAAACTTCCCCTAAGGGTCCATGTACCTAAATAGGGAGTACTGGCGCCTTCAAGTTCCTGCTATGCAGGACTTCAAGGCCTAAGTATGGACCATTGAGGTTCTGTCGCGGGACTCTGTGTGGACTTCTCTGGGGGTGGGCAGGCGCGAACTGTCTCGACACTCGGAAGGACTCTCTGCCGGGATTCCCTGCGGGGGTGGGGCGCTCCCAGGGATACTCAACCCTAAACCCTCAACCCTCAACCCTAAACCCCCGGACTCTCTCTCAGCTTCCCTGGCCAGGACATCGAGCGGGATACCCGGGGAGGCAAGGAAAATGAGGGACTTTAAGTCAAACAACCCCACATGAAGTAGGGTTTATATTACTGTTTTTGGTGAGTGTGTATAAGGCTCCCATTTAATATTGGTGCGTGTATATCTTGGGTGTTCGTTTAGGGGTACAAGAAATACATACCGTACTTCAGACATAGAGTCATAGAGGGTGGAGAACAGACCTGGGCTTAGTTGTCCAGTACCTAGGGGTTTTAAAGGTTAACCTTTGGGATTATAAGGGGAATATATGAACCCAAAAAGGTTAAAGGTTATCTACTCTACTACTAAGTGGGTACCGTTTAGTAGTAGCCATCACGTAATTCGTAGGAATATCTCACATAAAACTGTAGGTAAACAGGCTCCTAGAGCCTGCTTCTGCCCCAAACCCTAAACCCTAAACCCTAAACCCTAAACCCTAAACCCTAAACCCTAAACCCTAAACCCTAAACCCTAAACCCTAAACCCTAAACCCTAAACCCTAAACCCTAAACCCTAAACCCTAAACCCTAAACCCTAAACCCTAAACCCTAAACCCTAAACCCTAAACCCTAAACCCTAAACCCTAAACCCTAAACCCTAAACCCTAAACCCTAAACCCTAAACCCTAACCCTAAACCCTAAACCCTAAGCCCTAAGCCCCTGGCAGAAGAGGTCGTAGAGCGTGGCAGGTGACAAGACGGCCACCACCAGGTTGTAGTAGCTGTTGGCCTCAGGCTGCCGAGGGGCCACCTACACCCTATAATCTACCGCAGCCTGAGCCGACAACCCTAAACCCTAGCCCTAAACCCTAAACCCTAAACCCTAAACCCTAAACCCTAAACCCTAAACCCTAAACCCTAAACCCTAAACCCTAAACCCTAAACCCTAAACCCTAAACCCTAAACCCTAAACCCTAGCCCTAAACCCTAAACCCTAAGCCCTAAACCTCTACACCCCGAAACCCTAAACCCCTAAACCGCAAGGTTCGCAGCAACCCGGGAGGACAGTCAAAAGTGTCAGGTTGAAGGCCGCACGGTTTAGGGTTTAGGGTTAAGGGTTTATAGGGTGTAGGGTGTAGGGTGTAGGGTTTAGGGTTTAGGGTTAAGGGTTTATAGGGTGTAGGGTGTAGGGTTTAGGGTTTAGGGCTTAGGGCTAGGGATGTTGTGAAGAAACCAGAGACAGTGATCAGCGAATGTAAGCAGAGAGTCAAAAAATCATGGTGAAGTGGTCGTATTTGTTTTTTTCCTGTGCATGTTGTGACGTTGCAAAGGTATGAAAGAGAGTAGCAACGGCATCTTCGTGGTTTCGTTTCGCAATGTCCAAGGACATGATCCAGAGGGTCCATTTGTAGTACTATTTATGGCATTAAGTACACAAAACCATACTAAATAGGGTTTTGGGGTACCTAAATCCATAATAGTACTACAAATGGACCCTCTGGGTGAACAGCACGATTGGAAGTTGCAGGATCTTATGACTGACTGATTCGCAATGTGGCACAGCTGATACAACTTTGACCCTTGTTCTTGGTGTTTCCCTCGAAAGCCTATGCCCCCACAAATCTAAGACCTATAGCAAACCCTAAACCCTAACCCTCCTAGGGCTTAGGGTTTCGGGGTTAAGGGCTTAGGGTTTCGGGTTTTAGAGGATTCGGGTTTAGAGGGTTTAGGGTTGAAGGTTTAGAGGGTTTAGAGGGTTTAGAGGGTTTAGAGGGTTCAGAGGATTCAGAGGGTTTAAAGGGTTTCGAGGTTTAGAGGGTATAGAGGGTTTAGAGGGTTTGGAGGGTTTAGAGGGTTTAGGGTTTGCAAAGCTCCCTCCCAAACGGGCATCCGGCACCCCCGAAACCCTTAGACCCTCGATCCTGAACGCAAAATCCTAGACCGAAGGCCCTGAACTTACCGTCAGGGTTTAGGGTTTAGGGTTCAGGGTTCAGGGCTTAGGGCTTAGGGCTTAGGGCTTAGGGTTTAGGGTTTAGGGTTTAGGGTTTATGGTTGGGAGTTTAGGCTCCCCCCGCTCACCCCCAACCTAGACCATGATTCATAAAGTCGCTGCTTTACGGTTTGGCAGAACATCCTGAGCCCTTAAACCACGAAACCTATAAACCCCTAAACCCAAACTCCCCCAAAAAACAACACCTCATCACCCTCCAAACCCTAAACCCTAAACCCTAAACCCTAAACCCTAAAACCCAAACTCCTCAAAGGCAACTCAGCCGCCGTGGCGGAAGCTGAGTCGTATCCATCTAGGCCAGTCCCGGTTTTCATCCTTTCCAGGTTGGGCTTCAGGGTTTAGGGTTTAGGGGTTTAAGGTTTAGGGCTTCGGGGTGTAGGGGCTAAGGGGCTTAGGGGATTAGCGGTTGAGGGTTTAAGGGTTTCAGGGGCTTGGGGGTTTGGCGGTTGAAGGTTTCGGGCTTAGGGTTTAGGGCTTCAGGGTTTAGGGGTTGAGGGGCTTAGGGGTTTAGCGCTTCGGGGTTTAGGTGTTGAGGGGCTTAGGGGTTTAACGGTTTAGGGTTTCGGGCTTAGGGGTTTAGGGGTTTTTGAAGAGGTTTGGGGGGGGCGGGGGGGGGGGGAAGGGGGGAGGGAAGGGGGGGAAGGAGGGAGAAGGGGGGAAGGGGGGAGGTCACTCGCACTCCCTCGTCGCTCACTCACTGCCCATCCGGCCCGAAAGCTGCCTTTACCCTACTTGGAGGTTCATGGTACTTATTTACCTATTTCAACTGTAGTGTACTTATAGCCTGTACTTAGAACCAGATTAATAAGAGCACTGAAGGGGCTTCTCAGTGGGTTATAAGAACAGTTAAAATTGGTGAATAAGTACCAGGAGCCTCCAAGTAAAGCCTAATCTGAAGTTGGGCTGAATTAAGGTTTACAGGAACTAGGTCTTAGGAAAACGTACCAACAGACCATAATCGTTACTATAAGAATAGGACCCTTAAAGCGATATACCCCTATGGGAACTCCTAAACCCTAAATCCTGAATAAAGCCCCCCCCCAAAAAAAAAAACAAAAAAAACAAAAACCAAAAACTAAAACAAATGGTTTCATGCCCAGGCTGCTGACTGATACTGGGCGTGTAGCTTGTCGCAGACTCGAGCGCAGCACAGGACACGAAGCCATTTTCGTTCAAACGCACCTGGCACCACCTAGGCCCTAAACCCTAAACCCTAAGCCACACATGGGGAGGAGGGGGGGGGGGGTTCAAACCAGGGTTTCCTTCTTGGGGGGGGGGGGGGGGGGGGGGGAGACGAAACTATTCTGGTTCGGGGTTTCGGGTTTAGGCTTCTTTTTCTGAAGAAGGGCTATGGAACCTAGGTCACTACTAGAATGTGCCCTTCGGATCTCCTAAACCCTAAACCCTAAACCCTAAACCCTAAACCCTAAACCCTAAACCCTAAACCCTAAACCCTAAACCCTAAACCCTAAACCCTAAACCCTAATGAGTTTTGGACAAGGGGGGTGCTAAGGGGTGAACTTTGCTGCCCTGTGGATTCTTAGGGTTTAGGGTTGGGTTTAGGGTTTAGGGTTTAGGATTTAGGGTTTAGGGTTTAGGGTTTAGGGTTTAGGGTTTAGGGTTTAGGGATTGGGGTTTAGGGTTTAGGGTTTAGGGTTTAGGGTTTAGGGTTTAGGGTTAGGGTTTAGGGTTTAGGGTTTGGGGTTTGGGGTTTAGGGCTTAGGGCTTAGGGCTTAGGGTTTAGGGTTTAGGGTTTAGGGTTTAGGGTTTAGGGTTTAGGGTTTAAAGACTGCCCTGGCGACCGTTTGCAACCTCGACTGCAACCCCCGAATCTTGACGGACCTGCTTGGGACTCTTCACGTCGGGGATCCGAAGTATGGGGGGCTTTGATCTGGGTAAATTAAGGGTAAGGGACCATACTCGGGCCCAGGGTTCCGACCTTAGATAACGACACCCCACAGACCCCTAAAAGCTTCAGGAACCGACGCATGTCTTCACCTTCTCTTCGAACCCGAAGCCCTTAAGAGACCCTTTTGGGAAGCCGATAAGCGAACAAGAATCGACGACCCTGCACGCTGTGCTTCCTAGTGCTTCATGGACCCTAAACCCTAAACCCTAAACCCTAAACCCTAAACCCTGAACCCTAAACCCTCAACCCGAAACCCTAAACCCTAAACCCTAAACCCTAAACCTAAACCCTAAACCAGCCAAATATGGACCCCGTACCAACACTGAACCCTGAACTGCCTGAACCGTTTCTCCTATGGGTTGGGGCGGCTAGAGACGGAGGCTCTTCTGTTTAGGGCTTTAGGGTTTGGGGTTTGGGCTTTACCTAAAGGCTCCTGAGGTAGCACATTTTGGGTGTCGTATACCAAAACCCCCTATAACCCATTGTTGTTCACAACTTTTGCTGCGCAGTGGCCCCTAAGTTCATTCATCACTCGTGTCCGACGACTGGGGTCATTGGGGCGTGCGGAGTAAAACAGTCCCCTTTAGGGATCGCCCACTTATCTTCACAAAAACGCATTGGCAGGAAAAACGGCGCGAGGTTGATGCCAAAGTCGAATCGAAAGTATCCGAAATTAAATCTAGAACTTGCGAGGACCAAAACGAAGCAGCTCATCCCCCTAGACCCTAAACCCTAAACCCTAAACCCCAAACCCTAAACCCTAAACCCTTCCTGCTGCTCAGTGCCGCCGCCAGCAGCAGCGCCATGTAACCGCCGAGAATAGAAATGCGACACTGCTCCATGCCAATACCTGTGACTGAAACCCTGCGGTTTAGGGTTTCGGGTGTAGGGTGTGCCATGAAGCTCCAAGTACACAACAGTAGGTTATACTCCCGCTGCATGTAGGGCATTACCCCCAGAATAGTACCCTAAGGTCCATGTAACTAAATAGGGAATCCTTGGGACTTACCTTAGCTACTACTTGCTTAAGAACCCCAAAAGAATATAAAATAGTAATCCCTGTATTACCCTTAAAAGAATATTTTTCATTTGTTGGGGAATAGTAGTTAGGGGTGGGTAAATGGAGCCCGAGGTACAGCCACAACACCATAGAGGTGGCAGTGCATTGTGCACACGAGCCCGAAGACAACGACAAGCCAGAGCATGAGGACGATCAACAAGGTCTGAAGGTGATACACGAACCTGCAGGTGCCCAAGATAATTTAGGATTTTGAAGGAGCGGGGAAGAGCAGTAACTGCGTAGCACGCTTTTCTTGGGGCTAAGGTGAGCTCAGGGCCTAGACGGTTGCGGAAGTAACCAGTGAAAAGGACCCTGCATCAACTCTCCTGTCTTAGGGAGGGTTCTGACAGGGTTCTTAGGAAAGAAGAGAACGAAAGGAGATGTGACCTCGGCTACTCTATACAGGGAGTAAAACAGGTAGATTTCCACACCCGTCTTATCTCCGAGTCACATCGACTCCTTCGTCAAGAAAGGACAAAAGTGTTTAAGTACTCTTCCCACGTGTTCGCTTTAGGGACGACGAGAGAGCTCGACGGGGGTATTCTTTCTTTCCTGATGACTGTGAAATCGCCGCTTTCCTGGTTGGTGTTCTTCATGGTCTGGATGAACTCGCTCATGATGCGCTTAACAGCGGGCTGCGGCTGCGATATCTGAGTCCCGTGAACGCATTCCTCACAAGCTCCCTGGCAAGCCTTCTTGCCCATCGCCGGCCAGCTTTCCCCAGAGCTTTGCTGGGTGACATGAATGTCCACTTCTCCATCCGCCTCTAGCACTCCTGTTAGGAGGTGAGTAACAGCTACCGACTTATGTTGGTTCATGAGGCGGTAGACCACGAGGATGACCTTCCTGATCTTCGTGGTGTCCTGCAGGTGCTTTATCCAGACGGAGATCTCGCTGGCATTCCTTTGGAAAGGTTCACTCTGAGCTTCTCTGAGCGATATTATATCACTCAGAATAGTTGGATGGGACCCCAACATGGTACTTGTAAGACTCGTCATTCGACGGATGGTACCACACCATTGGAAGGAGTCCAACGAAGGGATCCTGGTTGAGCTTTTTGCCCATGGCGTTTACACCCTCTTCATAGTGCGAGCCGTAGCCGTTGATACACACGGTCATTCGGGGCTCGCCGGGCCGGGCCGGGAAGGGGCCTTTCGCCTGTGACGCCTGCATGGACTGTGGCGGCTGAGGGTACGGCGCCCCTAAGGACACCAGTACGACGATTCTTGCAGCCGTGGTTTTCGGGCTCTGCGGCCCATCGCAAGGCTTCCAACTCCAAATCCGTCTTGATCATAGATTCCAGCGGAGTGGGATGACCAATGAAGCAAGTTCCATGACCTGGGAATTGGGCAAGGGGCTCGCGATCGAACTCAAAGGTTACAACTCCCTGACGCATTGGGGCGGCTTGCCGTATCTCAATCCCGACGAAATGTCAATAGCTAACAATCCGCTGTCACGAGTCACGAGTACGATATAACTACAACTCGAGTCTGTGCTCGGGATTGTTGGGGAGGCTCACAAATGCACGGCCTTCATGCGCTACCTTGGTTAAGCGAAATTTCGCTTGTGCATGTATGGATAGAAGGAGCGTCCAGGGACTTCGTGGGAGTCCAATATGCCAGGTAATCTCCTGCCTTCGGGGGTGGTAATAGAAAAAGGAAAACATCGGACTCCTATGTCTGAGCACTCCATGAAAGTCCTCTGAAGCCTTTAGAATGACTGGGGTCGAACTTAGAGGAGAATCCTAAGGATTCTAACTTCACCTCAATTCGTCTAGCCCACTCGTGGACGGTGCTGTTGCATCCTTCATCCAATAAAACGATAATACCAGAATCTTCATGGATGTTGACAACAGGAAGATCTTTGAGGAGACTATGTCCTTGGGTATCCCCGATGGCACCATCAACAAGCATTGCATAGTTCGCTTCCCTTCGTGAGTGTGAAGGGACACTAGACGGCGCCGCGCGTGATCTCGCGGACTGTGCCAGTGCCGCGGATGGGAACGAAGCTGTTGCCTGGGAGATGGTTTCCCAAGAGGTATCCTCTATTTGGGAGTCTAAGGCCTTCAGGAGGCTATGCAGGTCCGCTGGCTCTACGCTAGGTTCATTGAGGAAGTGTTCTTCCACTGCACTGGTACTACAGTCTCAATAGGGTAGCATTGCCTTGCCGAGCTAGCTATGGCTCGCAAAAGGTCCAGGGTATTGGCATTCTGCACTATGGCAGCCGTGTCCACTCGAGCCTTTGGCTCTTCCTGCGGCAACTCATCAAGCACTGTACCACAATCCTTGCAAGTAGCGTGGGCTAAGCTCTTCGTAGAACCTCTTCTATCAACATTAGGGTGTGTACGTGTCTCTGGGTTGGCTAGTTGGATCGTCTTCTTGTTCTTCTGCACCCAACAACATGTCTTGCGTGTACGCGTATCTATGAATGCGTCCTGTCTTGCTGAAACTCTTGCAAGATGGAAAGCATCGCTCTCGGGCATTCCCGGCATCGTCGACTGTGTCGACGCCGGTGTGACCACTCCTGGCAGGTGGCTGAGGAGGGGGAATCTCGCTAAGTGGAGTATCCCTCTGTGCGACCTCTATGGGTATGCTTGGGTTGCGACAGTCGCCTTCGACCGTACAATACTCTGTGACCCAATCAAGGAAATCTGCGAGTCCTTTGCTCGGTTTTTTGTTTTCTACCTCAAAGATAATACGATGGGTAGCGGTGAAGGACTTGGCCCCAAGTCAAGCCTCTCTGTGGTGTCCGAACTGGAAAACAGTAGAGGCACCTACTGGGGGTGCATCATAAGGGCTTGATTGCTCCGACTATTTCGGGCGATCCTGGGCGCTGTGACCCTGGGGGCTGTGGTCGCGATAGGACCAATCTGCTGCGCAGCGGGAGCTGGAAACCCTGTCAGGTGAAAGGGTTCGACGTCTTCGTCGTTGGCTGCTTCAGCCACGAGTACGGCTCCTGGAGCGGGCGGTGTAGTAGTGGGGGAAGATGAAGTCCGTTCAGTTCTGAAACGCCGCTATTTATCTCCTGCCCAATGACTACTCGCACCACACCGAAGACATTTCGACTTCGCTTTGAGCTCCTGTAGCTTAGCCCTTCTATCTGCTATGGATAGATTCGACGGCGCGAGCTTGCCCTTCCCGAAGCCTTTGCCCTTGCCTTAAATTTGCCTTTGCCGTTATCCTTACACGGCTTCTGCACAGTCCTCGCCTAGGTCTGCTAGGCCTGCGTCTGCTTGCACTGAGGCATACGCGTTCAGGGCTTCGACCAAATCGGGATCCATGTCCTGGTCGTGTTCAGGTGTTTCCTGACTCAAACACGACTCTGGCGCTGGCTTACTGACATAATAACTATTCCAACCTTCGGACTCATTCCACCAAGCATCGTCATGGGAATAACCATCATAGTCCTGTTCGGATGAAATGTATCCGTACCTTGCCTTCGTAAGTGGTGAAATACTGGCGTATGGGAGTCGAGGTTGCGAAGGATTATACCATGGGTACTTTTTCCCCTTGCCTTCGAGAGAAGGAAAGCTCCTCGTCGAGTTCGACGGTTCCTCGCGAAGGCGAAGCCTTTCGCTGAGATTGACCACGCAATGGTGTCGTGCGAGAACACGAGCACACACCTCGACGGTCTCTTCCTTAGCGGCCGTTTTGACCATCAACTGGACCATCAACTGTTTTGGACTTTGATAGCCCAGATAACTCATCCAATAAATTGGCTCTCATACGTGATTCAGAGATAGTAAGACTGGGGACGAGTCCTCGCTGTGTGACCCACCATCTCTTCCTCCGACCAATGTAGGAGAGCATGGGCTCGTCATTGGGATAATGGTCCATCTCGTTGTTGACCAACTCGAACTAGCTCTGAGGCTTCCTCGCTTTGTAGCAAACACAAACGTGCCTCTGGATGACCTCAATCAGATGATGATCTATGCCATCATGTTTGCTTAATCGTTCTAAGCCTATGTCGCGAGCGATCAGGAAAGCGGATGCGAGATGCATGTCAATCTGTGTCTCATCTATCGATTGTAAGTGGTCTTGCCCTGCACTGCTGCAGTCTTCTTCCTGTCCAGGACCTCTGCCATTCGGCATACGAGCAAGAAGATCCTAGGTCCTTGGTTAACTCGCGACTCATGCGTTCACGGTGTTGTAGTACACGAGCCTGGGTCTTGAACTTCCAATCGTGAAAGCCGGATGCTGTGCCGGAATTAATATAAGAGCCGGACGTGGTTTCAAGCGGCATTCCATGTACTTCCAACGGATCGTACCGTGACATGGCGGGAGGAGAAAAACAACAACACGGGGCTTTGCCCTTACCCAGTTACGGGCTTGAGGGTGACTCTCCGCAGCCAGTTTGAGGGAGCGGGGAAGAGCAGTAACTGCGTAGCACACTTTTCATGGCGCTATGGCGAGCTCAAGGCCAAGACAGCTGCGGAAGTAACCAGTGAAAAGGACCCTGAATCAACTCTCCTGTCTTAGGGAGGGTTCTGACAGGGGTCTTAGGAAAGAAGACAACGAAAGGAGATGTGACCTCGGCTACTCTATACAGGGAGTAAAACAGGCAGATTTTCACAAGGCCCCAGGGTCCAGGATTTGGGGCGCAGGGTTCAGGGTCAAACCGCCCCAGGGCGGAAGGCGCTCAGGGTTTGATTAGGGTTCAAAGGTTTGATTAGGGTTCAAAGCTTAAAGGCCGGGGGTTTAGAGTTTGGGTCGCAAGGCTTTTTTAGCGTTAAAGGTTTAGGGTTGGGATGTTCCCCCTTGTGCTAACAGTCCTTGCTAGGGACTAAAGTACCTCTTAGTTTAATTACTCCCGATTAAGGACTGTTAGTATAAGGGGGAACATCCCAAATTTAAGGATTTAAAGGGTTGCCCCAAACTCGCACCTGTTCGAGGAACCTTCTGCGCCGGCTTCGCAGACGTACACCAAAAGCACTATGCAAGACGGAGCCCACAGCCTCGTTGCAAGCCGGTGCTCCCAAACAAAGATACCTCTTATGTACCCCAAATACAGCAGAGTCCCCTTTGGTAAGCACCCTCTCCAAATACCCGAAGGGTCCATGTACCCTTAGAGTATATACTTGGGCCTCAAAGGGGTTCCCATATAGTAGCTTTAGGGCCCAAGTATATACTACATCGGTACATGGAACCTTTTTTCCGAACAAGCACAGCAAGGCTGTTCGCAGCCACCTGAAGTTTGGGAAACCCTAAGCCTAAACCCCAAACCCTTTAGGGTTTAGGGTTTAGGGTTTAGGGTTTAGGGTTAGGGTTTAGGGACCTTGACCCTAAGGGTTTAGGGTTTAGGGCTGCTTTTCGGGGTGGGCCAGGCTTCTGGGGAACCTGAGCATGAAACGGGCGCACTTTCTGGCTTCAAGGGATTGGTATATGAACAAACGCGCACTGTTTTCTAAACAGGACATCGGAAAATCTGGGCACTACTGGGCATTCTAGGGTGGTAAGCATCGCAAGGGCTTAGGGCTTAAGGGTTGCCATCTGGCAATGCATGCAAGGAGCAAGCACCAGCCAACCATGGTGCTGCAGACGATGATCAGTGTGTGGTACCATGGCACGCCTGCGACTGACATGCCAAGGATCATCTCCAGGCCCACGTTGAATGACGGCAAGGACAGCACACATATGTAGCCGAATGGGATGCTACCAGCCACCTTCATGGGATTCAGCCTTAGTTGAAGAGTTCATAAGCCCCCGAAAACTGTACACTTTCACTTCTGTAGGGGATTGTAGTATCCCAAAGAAATGTCATTGAAGTGTACTCACTCAGCTAGAAAGAAGCACATCCTGGCGAAGAGGACCCCGGACGTGGGCAGAAAAGGCATCTAAGCTTCCATACCAGCGCACAATTGCAGCATGTATTCGTGCCCTATCGAAGTCATTCTGGCACTCCACTTTCCAGACATCAAAGCTGTCCAACGCAGCGATCAAGGCGTTCTTGGAGCGGTAGCTACACCGAAGCGAATGCACCAAAGGGACTCCCCCAAGCCCCACCAGGATCAAAATGGCCAACAGCCACATCTTGGCAACGATGAGGGCATACCAGAAGACGGAGGTTACAATGTGCACCCAGATGAAGATTTGCAAGATGATGCTTTCAATGAACAAGGGCGCAAACGTGATTTTCCCAGCAGGGTTCACTTTTTTGTACGCCGAGAGTTCAAATATGCACCAAAGCCTCGAAAGATACGGCGCGCTCCAAAGAACGCGCAACTCTTTCGAAGCTGCTAAAAACCCTCCGATATTTCCGATACCCTGCTGCATGAGCAACTCCTTAGTTGTCCAGTACCTAGGGGTTTTAAAGGTTAACCTGTGGGATTTTAAGGGGAATATATTAACCCAAAGAGGTTAAAGGTTACCTACTCTACTACTAAGACTCATCTGTTTGATGAACACAAACAAAGTCGAGGAAGGCCACGTCTGCTGTGGCGGCGGGTAAGTACGGAGACATTGCCAAGCCTGCGAACCCGGAGATCCAGCCAATTGACGTTAGCCTTAGTTGCTGTTTTCATAGGCCCCCGCCCCCCCCCCCCCCCCCCCAAAAAAAAAAAAAAAAAAAGAGTGTACACTTTCAGTTCTATAGGGGATTAAAATGGTATACCAAAAAGTGTAAAGTGTACTCGTTCAGCTACCAAGTAGCCAGATGCCAACGGAAACAAAGTCATCCCACTGGAAAAGCAGAGGCAAGATCTCGAAGACGCACAGGAAGAAGGTCAGGAATGTTGCAGTGGCCCATAACACCAGCATGGGTCGCCATCCGAAGTGGAGCAGCAAAGACAAATATTTCCAAATCCCGGGTGTCGACCAAGTGTGTGATATGAACACGTCGAGATGCTCCACGGGTCTGGAAACGGAGTAAAGATTTTCACGATCTGCAAACTCTAACTCGCTTGGCCTAGGTTCCCACGTCAGCTATGAAGGAAACCCTTTCGCGCGTACAGCGGGGTTGAAAAGCCTCAACAGTATCTACTATGGGCGTTCTAATGCAAATTGTAGAATATGGGAAAAGGGTACACCACTGGCGATCTGAAGCGCTTGTATCGCCATAGCTTGCCTCCCTGGCGTAATGTCCTCTTACTGCTGGTTAGTAGGGAATGGGGGAATGAGGTACCCTGCAAGGGTATAAGTAGGGCCCTCATTCCCTCCTTACCGAACCAACAGTAAGTCCTTCGCAATGGCACGCCTCGTAGCAAATCTCTGGACGTCCGGGTAAGGTCTCCAGCTTCATAGCACTGCTGGGACTCTTCGGCGGGTTCTTCGGGAACGTCCTGAATGCCTTGGTAACCGTTTAGGGTTTAGGGTTAGCCCGGTAGCCATACCACAATAAGGGCAGCCTTCTTTTGTTGGGGTTGGTTACTGTATAAGGGAACCCAGAACCAAAAAAAGGGTAAAGGGTACCACTGGGCTCCCAAGATGCGGTCGTGCGCTTCCAACACCGAATCTGCCTTGACTTGCTCAAGCTCAGGCTGCTCACTCTTTGAGCAGCAGCTCTGGCTCGAGGCGTGTCCCATTCTCAAGCACAACCCTGGGGGCCCATGTACCTTTGCAGTATATGCTTGGGCCTGAATCCCATGTAGTAGCTTTATAGGGCCCAAGTCTATACGATACAGGTACGTGGACCCTTAGGGCAACAATCCGCCTCCTCTGGCTTCCCCTCGAACCAAAAAACCACGGGCAGCTTCCTTTGCGCTACTTGAAGCCCATTTTCGCTGAGGAGGACGCTGTATGCCACGAAACCCCTGTATTTCCTGACTGTAGTTAAGGGACTTACAGCCTAAGTTAGGATCCTGATAACCCAATTTAGGGTCCTGACAACTATGGGGGCCTCTCCGTGTAGCAATCCCCAGACCTTTTGGGTGGCGAAGGCAGCATTGAAGGTCTGACTGGTCCTGAACTCTAGGGTTTAGGGTAAGTGTTTGGGATTCCGGCGCCCGCTTGGACTCCTAAACCCTAAACCCTGGAGTTCCGGGTTCATCTGCAAATTCGTGGCGCCTAGGTAGTTTTTGACTGGGGCTTGCGCAGTCATCAAGACGTGAAAGATGAAGGGCTTGGTGTCTTCAATGTGCAGCCTCAGCGTTGTAAGGGTTTAGGGTCAACCTCTGGTGTGAAAATGCGCTGACGGTTTAGGGTATAAGGTATAGGGTTTAGGGTTTAGGGTTTAGGGTTTGGCTTCTCCAAGATTTGCTTTGAGCATCCCTTTGTTTCATGCGGCACTTCGGGCACCCAGCACTGTGGAACCGACCACTGCGTACTCCCATCAGAGCTATAGATCCAAAGCTGACATCCCCAATAGGGTTTAGGGTTTCCAATAGGGTTTAGGGTTTAGGGTTTAGGGTTTAGGGTTTAGGGTTTAGGGTTTAGGGTTTCACTGAAACCTTACAAGGAGGGGCCCCTTACTAATCCCTATAAAGGACTGCTAGTATAATGAGGCGAGATTGTAAGATACCCTGACTGCCTTAAACCCCCCGGCTCTTACTAGGGAATGAGGGAATGAGGGTCCTTTCTATATTATATATATATATATGTATATATTAATTCCCTTTCATGGATTTAATAGAGCCCTAATTCCCCTACTCCCTGCTAAGAACACCCCAGTGAAAACCCTACAAGGACCCAGACCTCTGGATCCAAAAATAGAACCCCCCAAATGGTACTCTTGGGCCATGATCCTCCCAGGGGTCTGGGGAAGGGCCCCATAGTTAAGGGACTTATAGCCTATAAGTTAGGATCCTTATAAATCAGTTTAGGGTCCTTATAACTCTACTTGTGACTATGGGGTCTCCTCCCTGCTACGCCCCCTGAACCCTAAACCCTAAACCCTAAAACCCTACCTCATCCCTTTACCTAAGTCTCTGGCACTGGCGCGGTCGTGTCAGCAGTGCAAGAGACCAACCCAAGGCATAGCAGCATCCAGGAGGTGAGCATGGCTGCTTGCTCCCTAAACCCTAAACCCTAAACCCTAAACCCTAAACCCTAAACCCTAAACCCTCAACCCTACCAGACGTGGCCCGAAGCTTTGCCTAGGACCCCCCAGTGCACACGAAGTAAGGGGCAGAATGCCGCAAGTACCATATTGCGAGGCTCTTCCCTACTGATGTGTAGGATTTGGGATTTCTACAGTTGCCACAAGCGGGTTGAAGACTAGTCTTTACAGGTATTAGGGCTTCGGGCCTAAAATATCGGTGTCGAGCTCATCTCTGCTTGTAGAACTGCCATACTCGCTATACTAAGCCACAAGCTCCGAGCGGATTCAAGCATTTAGGGTTTAGGGTTTGCGGTAGGGTTTAGGGTTTAGGGTTTAGGGTTTAGGGTTTAGGGTTTAGGGTTTAGGGTTTAGGGTTTAGGGTTTAGGGTTTAGGGTTTAGGGTTTAGGGTTTAGGGTTTAGGGTTTAGTAGGGTTTAGGGTTTAGGGTTTAGGGTTTAGGGTTTAGGGTTTAGGGTTTGGTCCCCTAACAGGACGTTTAAATCAACCCTTAATCACACAACAGACCGAAGAGTCAAGGCAAGATTGTCATGTCATCGTCCACAGCTCTCTCGAGCAGATTTTGGCATGTCGGTCTGTCCAATGGGTTTAGGGTTTAGGGTTTAGGGTTTAGGGTTTAGGGTTTAGGGTTTAGGGTTTAGGGTTTAGGGTTTAGGGTTAGGTGGCTGTAGCTTGTCGTGAAACACATGCAAGACTGAGGCCCCCTACGCCTTGGTGACAGGCGCCAGTCTCGGCAGCCCATGTCATCATGACGAGACCAAATCAAAACGAATTCTGCAGTCTGCAACTAGGGCGGCCTGCAAACCCTTTGAAATCTTGAACCCCATGAGGGAAACATCCTAAACCCTAAGCCCTAAACCCTAAACCCCCAAAAATGTAAAACTATTTCAAGGGCCCACCCGGCTAGGCTTCTGTCGGCTCATTCTCCTGCTTTGCCTTCTCTTGGGCATTCCTGGCAATGCAGCGCAAGAAACACTCCTGCAGGTCTAAACCCTCAACCCTAAACCCTAAACCCTAAACCCATCGTTGCCCTGGGGATGCCAGATCCCGGAACTTTCCCCCCCCCCCCCTCCCCTAAACCCTAAACCCTATAAACCCTAAACCCTAAACCCTGAACCCTAAACCCTGAACCCTAAACCTTAAACCCTAAACCCTAAACCCTAAACCGCCCGGACAAGCGCGGCAGCCGCACGTCATCGCCTCCACAAACCACTGCGGCGGCCCCTGCTGCTTCAGCTTCTCGAAGGCTTCATCCATGGGGTTGTTCATCTCCGCCTTTGGTTCGTAGGGTTTAGGGTTTAGGGTTGAGGGTTGAGGGTTTAGGGTTTAGGGTTTAGGGGTAGTTGCATGGCCCCCTTAGTAAGGGTGCTCAAGTGGGGAAGCTTATTATATACCCCTTATACACCCTACACTAAAACTCGAGGGCCCGCACTTCAGAACCCTTTGAAGAAGGTAAGGGACCATAAACCCTAAACTTCTGATTGGTGTTTTCTCATTTTCAGAGAACCCACTCACCAACAACTCCCCCCCCACCCACCCACCCCCCACATCACCCACCGCCACCTGTCCCCCCCCCGTCCCCCCCTCTTCCAAACCCAGACACCTAAACCGTAAACCCACGAAGTATTTGCATGTACCAGGCTTAGGGCTTGTGCAAGTTTTGCCAAAAGGCCTCACTCCCGCAAGAATGCCGCTGAGATCAAACCCTCTCAGCCTGCAAGGTTTTTTAGGGTTCAGGGCCCCAGGGCTTCTAGGGGTTGAGGGGGGGCTTTACGGGCTTAGACCCTCTGAACCCTCTGAACCCTCTGAACCCTCGAAACCTTCTGAACCTTCTAAGTCCTCGAACCCCTGCTCGGGGATTTAGGGGTGGTTTTCCGGCGAGTGGCCCGCATGGCTTCCATGTCCAGGCCCCCTTCATCGATGTACTGACACGCCTCAATGGGTTTAGGGTTTGGGGGTTTAAGGGTTTAGGGCGGTTTGGGAATACCAGGTTCTCCTGTAGGTTGTGGCCCTGGAAACCCTCTGAAAGATATCCTTGAACATGATCCTCGCAAACCCAACCAGCGGAAATAAATCCGAAGGTCCTACCTAGTCCAGTGTGAGGAAACATTGAAGGGTGCCCTTTTCTCAAACAAACACCAAACCCTAAACCTAAACCCTAAACCTAAACCCTAAACCCTAAACCCTAAACCCTAAACCCTAAACCCTAAACCCTAAACCCTAAACCCTAAACCCTAAACCCTAAACCCCAAACCCTCACCCCACAGAGAGAAAACTGCCACTGCTGTGCGTCCGGGACTACTATAGGATGCTTTCGAGGTCGGGGTCCGAACCCCTGCACCCTAAACCCTAAACCGAGCAAGGCCTGGGGCCTCTAAAGTTCTAGAGTATCTTTGGGGTTTAGGGTTTAGGGTTTAGGGTTTAGGGTTTAGGGTTTAGGGTTTAGGGTTTAGGGTTTAGGGAAGGTTTCAGTCAAGGCGGTTTAGGGTCTCGTGTTCAGGGTATCGGAGATTGGGGTCTTGGAGGCCTTGAGGTGCGATTTCGGAAATATAGGTCTTGGGCACATCAACGGCCAATTCTCCAAATTGGGTCCCTTTGTCCCCTACAGAATACGGCACCCTTATATGGACCCCCAATAGGACTCTAATAAGAGACCTACCCATACAAGGCTTAGACATGTTTAGGGTTTGGGGTTTAGGCGTTGGGTTCTAGGGTTTCTCCCTGGGGACCCTAATGAAAACCCTAAACGCTGGCTCTGAAATCCGCTCAACAATAGACCTTGAAGTCTGATATCCTCAAGCCGGCTGAACCCTCAAAACCCACCACTTGAGTAAAACCCTAAAACCCTACAACCCAAACCTTGAGCCCCTGCACCCTCAAGGGCCTAAACCCCAAACCCTACACCCTAAACCCTAAACCCCGAAATCTAAAAATCCAAGCCCGAAATCCTACACCTTCCCACCTCCTTCCGCGACCACTGTTTCTCCTTCATGAGGCGCACGACCTGCGCCTTACCGAAAGGTGGCAAAGTGTGGGTTTTAGGTTTGGGCGGGGAGGGGGGGGGGGCTAGGGGCTAGGGTTTAGGGTGTAAGGGCTTAAGGGGATTTAGGGCCTGGGTTTGCCGGGTTGAAGGTGGGGGCAGAGGGATCTGGAGTTTCTGTAGGTCTTGAGGGCTGAATGTATGGTTTGTGGCCTCTAGATCTAGGGCCAGAGCTTGGTGCGGGATGCATCAGTCAGTTCTAGTGGTATAGTGGAGGTGCCAGAGCATATGTGCGGATCAGGGTTTATGGCTTAGGGTTTATAGGGCACATGGTTGAGGTTTGGGATGTTCCCCCTTAGACTAGCAGTCCTTCATAATCCCTATTAAGGACTGTTAGTATAAGGCGGAACATCCCAAGTTGAGGGTTTATACCCTAAACCCTATACCCTATACCCTAAACCCTAAACCCTAAACCCTAAACCCTAAACCCTAAACCCTAAAGGGTTTAGAGTGACTTCAGGTTCGAGTCCTTTCCAGCAGGTTGCCCTTGAAGCATGTTGCCATCTTGAGCGCGCGGCTGCAGACAGCTCTAGATGGTCACTTCTTTTAAAAATTAGAGTCCCTTTTTGGGGGTTACCATTAGAAGGCCTCCTCTAGGGTACCCAAAAAAAAGGACCAGAAGTTGAAATGACCAGATACTTTTTCGGCCAGATTCAGCACATTTTGGAGCCCCTGGGTGTCTCTGGGCAGCCCCTACTGCTGCTTGGCACAACTTAAGTCCCCAAAACTAGACTTCGTTCAAGGGTTTAGGGTTTAGGGTTTAGGGATTAGGGTTTAGGGTTTAGGGTTTCGGGTTTAGGGTTTAGGGCGTGCCCCTCAGTGTCTGGCCTCCATGTCGTCCGGCTTGGGTTCGGCCGGCTCCCTCTTCGGAGCCTGTCCTGCCTCAGGGGCTCGAGCTTCAACGTTTAGGGTTTAGGGTTTAGGGTTTAGGGTTTAGGGTGGGGATTATCTAGCTGCGGGTTGTTTTGAAATGTGGACCCCTTTTGGCCCCCTACAAACTTTAGGGAACATATGTGGCCACTCCTCCAAATGTTGCTCCCAGTTTTCGATACCCTGAACATTAGGGCCCCGCCTTGTCATAAGGAGCCCAAAAGGAAGCGTAGTTTATAGACGTGACCATCTATTGCACTAGACGTATGTAATCCTAAAACCTAAACCCTAAACCCTGAACCCTAAACCCTAAAGCCCCGAACTAAAACCTAACCTTCCAACTTTTAGCCCCTTCTGGAGTGTCTCTGGTCATCTAGGCTAGGGTACAAGAAAAAAAGTGTTTATATAGGGTTTATAGGGTTTTACAGGGTTTTTTAGGGTTTACATGGTGTATAGGCTTTATAGGCTGTAAAGGGTGTATAGGCTTTATTGGGTTTAAAGGGTTTATAGTGTGTATAGGGTTTATAGGGTTTACAGGGTTTACAGGCGTTGTAGGGTTTTAGGGCCAAGCAACTGGTTGGGAGAAGGCAAGGCGCCCTTTTTTGTTGCTGCGGTTTTTTTACCTTGGACCCTTAAGGTTAAACCCTAAACCCTAAACCCCAACCCTAAACCCTAAACCCTAAACCCTAAACCCTAAGCCCTAAACCCTGAACCCTAAACCCTAGACCCCTTTTAAAGATCCTTAAGGTAGTAGAAGGGCCATATGAGGAGTACCTTTCCTTAGGGGTACGAACCTTCATCCTTGGACCTCTGAACAAAGGCTAAGGCTCGGTTTCCCTAAACCCTAAACCCTGTTTGGATCAACTCCCTTTCTAGACCCATAGGAATATGTTTTGTTTAAAGGGGCTCATAGGGGAACCCAAACCCTTAAAGAAAAAAAATGAGGCCTACTCTGGGTCCTGTGGTAGCCCTAAACCCTAAACCCTAAACCCTAAACCCTAAACTCTAAACCCTGAACCCCAAACTAAGGGCCTACTCTGGGTCTTAGCTGTTGGAGAACATCAAGCCCGTGAGGGCTCTCTAGGGTTTAGGTTTAGGTTTTAGGGTTTAGGGTTTAGGGTTTAGGGTTTAGGGTTTAGGGTGTAGGGTGTAGGGTGTAGGGCTTAGGGTTCAGATCTTGGCACATCAGTGTTGTTGTCTGTGTGGCTCTTGGGCCTGGGTCATGACTGGGGATCTCGGTCACGGTATCATAGGCTTCCCCACCACCCCTCTCCATACTACCTTCCATACCCCTTTCAAGGTTCACCCCCTAATCAAGGCTATCTAGGAATAATTCAGCCTAACTAAGGCTATTTAAGAGGGGAACCATAATAGGGGGAATAGTATAGAGGGGGGTACTTGGACGTTCATGGTACTGACTAACCAATGAAAACTGTACTTATAAGTGTACTTATAACCATATTGGGGCACTTAAGGGGCTTATAAAGTGCGTTGTAAGTACAAGGATAATTGGTTAATGAGTACCATGAACCTCCAGGTATGTCCCAACACATACTTGTACCAGCCCTACACTTACACCCTAAACCCTAAACGCTAAACCCTAAACGCTAAACCCTAAACCCACTCCCTGAAGCTCCTGCACCCTCCAACAGACAAGCCCGCAACAGCAAGCCGTTCACTCCAAGTCTTTAGCCCGGCGAGGGGCCTTATTGGCAGACTGCAGCACGTCATACCTGGGTTTAGGGTTTAGGGGTTAAGGTTTAGGGTTTAGGGTTTAGGGTTTAGGGTTTAGGGTTTCATTTCTCCGGGCGGACAGTTTTTGCTTCAGGCTGCGAAGCAGGATTTGGGCTTTACAACTCTGCATGCCAAAGTGCCCGCGCACCAAGAATCCGCCAATCAACACAAACCACGATCGTAGACATGTAACGCAGATAAACAGCACTTGTGCCTCCTTTTATGTCCAGACCTGACTTTTGTAACTAACTGGTAACTGTGCGTGTTGACGCTCTTGACGACCTGGTGAGCGTGCACCCCTAAACCCTAAACCCCGAAACCCAACACCCCGAAAACCTCAACCCTAAACCCTAAACCCTAAACCCTAAACCCTAAACCCTAAACCCTAAACTTGTAGGCACTGCATGATACGTGGTCGGAGCGTCGAGGCTATCCTGGGGGCACGACTCCCCTGCAGACCACCACGCCAAGACCTCAGGCTGAGCACACACGCGGGGTTTAAGGTGCATTGTAGGGCCCAAGCAGCCCATTAATACCTCTTAATAGAGGAATATACCTTAGTCCACTCAGGATCCGGAATTTGATTTAAGGTATGTTCCTGACTTCAAGTCTATTGAGCTCTCTGGGTTAAGGGTGTAAGGCCTGGGGCCCAGCGTGTTGGGTTGGTGGCTTATGGTCGCCCGCATTGACGCTGTGTCTTGGGTTACATACCCTAGACCGAAAACCTTAACCCTCCATAGTAAAGTCGTTCGGGCGCTCCCAGAAGCCACAGAACAGGAGACCACACTTAGCGCTTCGCGCCACACGACCTAAGTGGGGAATACTTGGGCCTTACAGCACCTCCTAGTTAGGGAACTTTAGTCATAATAATGAGGTACATGGACCCTTAGGGAAAGTTCAACCCTGTAAATCATGTGAGCGCTAGGAACTTTCGGCTTTCTGTTTGTTGCTCAACAACCCCTGAAAATGATAAAAGAAATATTCCTAATAAGAGGAATATGGGGATTATATAGGGTCAGGTAGATGTCGCTTCGAAACAAGAGGATCAGCTAGGACATTGATGTGGTGTGTATTCTTGCGACTGCTGTGGAGGTGCCCAAGCGCAGCCCGTGCTGCAAATGGCTTCGTCGTGCGCTCACTCAGCGGACGAAAGCAGGCTCAACTCTTGCCCTATACCCTGAACCCTGAACCCTGAACCCTAAACCCTAAACCCTAAACCCTAAACCCTAAACCCTAAACCCTAAACCCGAAACGAAATCAGAGTGTAGCCAAACTGCCTGTCGCTGTAGCGGAGATGGGATGAGTTTCGCGGCGACTGCCTGCACAAGGCTTAGGACCTATCTTTCTGGGTTTGGGGTCTTGGGTCTAGGGTTTAGGGTTTAGGGTTTGGGGTTTACGAGTCACATGGCTTCCGTAGCATGATGGCTCAAGCCAACTTCATTGCTGCACGTCACCTCATCAAACTCAAGCTGTCCCTCAGGGGAGGGGTGGCCCAAGGGCTATCGCTCAAAACATGTTGATCAGGCGTATGGTTTGAAGGCTTCAGGGTTTAGGGTTTAGGGGGCTTATATAACCCCGTGTATATATATATATATACACGTACATACCTTATACATAGTCCCTATGTACAAAAACACCCCGAAATAATCCCCTAAAGGTCCCTTATAAGGGTCCCTCCTTTGGTCCCTTGATTATAGCGCTAACGTTTTAGGATTCAGGGCTCAGCTTCTCAAAAACTGGATTCGCTCATTTGGGTGCTCGGAAGTCGACCCTTCAGTGGCAAAACTGAAGAGGTTGGGGGTGAGGGTTATCATGCCCTAAACCCTAAACCCTAAACCCTAAACCCTAAACCCTAAACCCTAAACCCTAAACCCTAAACCCTAAACCCTAAACCCTAAACCCTAAACCCTAAACCCTAACCCTAAACCCTAAACCCTAAACCCTAAACCCTAACTCAGGATAGCTACATGGGCTCTTCAAGATATGGCCCCTTGCCTCCCTAAGAGGGTTCAGAAGTATGGGCCCGTCTGTTTTATAGGGTATGTAAAGGGTATAGAAGGTTCTTGTTTGTGTATTAAGGGCCCCTACTTAGGGGCCATGTAACTACCCAAGGATCCGATTCCCACACAACAGTGTGGGGCTTGACGGAAACTTGTCACTGCTCCTCCCCTAGACCCTACGAAGCCCATGCCAGGCAAGGTGGGGCGTTCAGCTTCGGCTTTCTGTCCAGGGTTTAGGGATTTGGGGTTTAGGGTTTAGGGTTCTACTGTTTAGGAGTTAAGCCACGTAGCAGGACGAGCCCTTATGCTGAACAAGCACTGTTTAGGGGCTCCTGGGGCTAGACGTAGATAGTAGATGGTGGTGGGGTTTGGAGTTGAGGGGTTTTCGGCTTTAGGGGCTTAGGCTTTAGGGATTTGGGTTGTGTAGGTTTCTAGTGTGTCTGAATTTGTCCAAGTTTTCGGTTTCAAACTTTTTGTTGGGCTTCTGTTGGGGGGGGGGAGAAATCTATGCGCAAAGCGTGATAACTACACATGGGTATTTTGATCAGGGCTGTTGGACCTTTTGCGGGTATCTAGTTCTGATCGTATTCGTACTTTAGACCTGTTAAGGAAGAAGTGAACCGTAAACCCGAAACTCTGAATCCTAAAAACCCAAACCCCAAACCCTTCTGTATAGTTTAGGGCGCTGTAGCAAAGGGCCCCCCAATTTGGAAAACAACCTGCGCATGAGGGCTTCCAATAACTAGGGGAAATCTTTGTGGGGTTTCGGGGTTAAAAGTTTAGGGATACAGGCTTTAGAGCACTGTTTAGGTATATAGGACTGTTGTATATCTGACAGAAATAGGGATTAGGGGCTTAGGGTCCTAAACCCTAAACCCTAAACCCTAAACCCTAAACCCTAAACCCTAAACCCTAAACCCTAAACCCTAAACCCTATAAGGGCTTAGGGTATAAGTTTAAAGGGGGACCCCACCCACAATGGCCTCTTTCAGCATCTGCTGCGCAGCTTTAAGGTCGCCAGACTCTGCGAGCTGCGAGGCCTTTTGTGCAGCATGGTTTAGGGTTTAGGGTTTAGGGTCTAGGGTCTAGGGTTTCGGGTTCGGGTTTAGGGTTTTTCTGAGAGCATGATGGAGGATATTGGGAGCCGAAACGCGTGCGTGTCCTTGATCTTGGGCAAAGAAACACAACTTCAAAAACCTGCACGGGTTTAAGGGCACGGCTTCAGGCTTTGCAGGGGTTCAAGGGACCAACGACCCCAACCACCCAAACCCGCAAAATGCTCAGCCAAAGGGCCTAACGACTCCCGTAAACCCGTTAAGGCTCGAAACTCAAACATTTCAAAACCCCAGCTCCTGATGCGGGCATGGGTCATTGCCGTACCACATAGAGGACCCACAAAGGAAGCCTAATTGGGAGAACTGCTGCATCTCTGCTAAAGCCCTCAGCACCGAAGCTTCACAGTGCACGGCCGCCTCGACAAGTCGCGCCTGCGCAGCGTCGTCCTCAATTCCGGGGGGCGGGGGGGGGCGGGGTTGTGTTGGGGGGTTTGGGGGTTTAGGGTTTGAGGGTTGGTGGGGACAGCCTTTCTTCCTTGACTCCAGACTGAGACTCCGTTTAAGGGAGGGGGGGGGAGGGTCTGGGCAATGCATCATAAGCATACCTAATAAGGTCTGTTTTTTTTTTTTGGGGGGGGGGAGGGTTTAGGGTATATGGTTTGGGGCTTAGGGCATAGGGTTTAGGTGGAAAGTTCTACTTGGTGAAGTGCCTACACGCCGACAGTTTGCAGCTTCCCAGATAGGCCCAACTTAGACACCCCTAAGCCCTAAACCCCAAACCCTAAACCCTGGGAATCCAACCTTTGGCAGCTGCAATTTCGGCAGCTTGGCCACGGATCCGGTCATGGTGGCGCGCAAGGTTGAGTGTCGGATTTCTGGGAGGGCTTGCGGTTCTTGGTATAGCCCAATGAACATTTATCATAGGGCAGGGTGGTTACCTTAACGAGGGATCCCGAAAAGGCTAAGAGGCACCACTCAGGGGTTCCAGGCGCAGGCTTCGGTGCTCGGACGTAGGGATGATGGGGTATCATGAGTCGGTCTAGGGTTTATGAAGGGTTTAGGGTTCGGGTTTGGGGTTTAGGGTTTATAGGGCTTGGGGTTTAGGCTTAGGGTTTATCGCGTTAAGGGCGTCGCAGAAACCAGCGTCGAGCCGCCGCGGCTGCTGCCAGGCAACGATACCCTCAGCCGTTGGTTGGTTCCGTGTGGAGCAATTGGGTTGAAGTGAACAAAGAGGGGCCTCCTTACTATACTAACGATTGGCACCATATACCTCGTTTGCCTCGCCGTCAGCGGCATCAAATCCAGGCAGACCAGCGCACAGAATGTACTCCCACTTCAGAAGATGCCAAAATTGTACTTGGCTCTCGCCTAGGTCTTGGCTACATTCTCAGGAATGGTCATTTGCCGTGCAATCTGCGAGTGAGGATGTGGAAGGCTCAAAGAGGGTTCTAATCGCAAAGTGAGTTTCGGATGTTTGTAAACAAAAAAAGATAAAAACAAAAAACAAAAAAAGCAAAAACTTCGGCATGTCCAGCCACAGTGTCCACGAAGGCCTGGTTTGGCACGAAGTGTCGTAAATACCGATGTTTTAGGCGTGTCATGTGCGTGAAGCACTGTGAATAACGGCAACACGGACGTTATCATCGTGCGGACATAGATGCGCTGGTAGCACGAACGTTATCATCGCGCGGACGTGGACGCTCTGGCCATTCACACGCAGTGGTAACACGGACGTTATCATCGCGCGGACATGGATGCTCTGGTATCACGATGCGGACATGGACGCTCTCGCCAGTCGCACGCAGCGGTAACACGGATGTCATGATCGTGCGGACATGGATGCTCGGCAACACGGACGTGATCATCGTGCGGACAAGGATGCTCTGACAATTCGCGCGCAACGAAGCCACGAAGTGTCGTAAACAATCCTTCCCCCTAATATAAACCCCCCCCCTGTATAAAAAAAAACCAAAAAAAGGTGTTTAGTATTAGGGGGTTCTTATCGTTTGTCCGAAACACCAGCCCGTCCTTATTCTAGCATGCTGGCTCAGCAGCCTGACTCAGCCGATCTGCAGACCAAGGCCAGAGAGATCAGACGTGTTTAGTCAATGAAAACTTCGAAAGCAGGCAGGACGCCCTCGTCGAGGGCTTGGTGAAGCAGACTGCGTTGCTGACGGCTCTGGTCACAAGCTGAGATCAGAAGGCAGAGAAGGAGAGAAAGTCCTGCGGAGAGCTCGCAGCCTTCGGCAACACAGAGTTCGCAGCCTCGTAAGAGAGAGAGAGAGAGAGAGAGAGAGAGAGAGAGAGAGAGAGAGAGAGAGAGAGAGAGAGAGAGAGAGAGAGAGAGAGAGAGAGAGAGAGAGAGGGAGAGGGAGAGGGAGAGGGAGAGGGAGGGGGAGGGGGAGGGGGAGAGGGAGAGAGGGAGAGGGAGAGGGGGAGAGGGAGGGAGAGGGAGAGGGAGAGGGAGAGGGAGAGGGAGAGGGAGAGGGAGAGAGAGAGAGAGAGAGAGAGAGAGTCTTGCAGAGAGCTTGCAGCCTTCAGCAAGACAGAGTTCGCAGCCACGCAAGAAACCTCACACTAGCTCAGCAGTGAGCTTGCAGCCCTTACAGAAGCAAGTCATGGCTGCAGAGCTTCCAACTCCTGAGCTGAGCAGAGATCTAGCTAAGACTAGCTGCATCGCTGGCTGTCAAAAAACGTGCCTAGGAGGCTTCAGGATCTGTCTGTCTGCCTGTGAACGGCTGGAACGGTTTAAGGTTCAGGCTTGCGGGTTAAGGGTTTAGGATGGGGGGGGTCACTAATGGCTTCCACTGCGAGCCGGCCACTGGCCTTCTCTGGCAAGAAGCGGCCGTTCTGGCTAGCTGAAGCAGTAAGGGCCTCGGAGCAGTGGCCGACTGCAGCACAGAAAAAAGCAATTAAGCGAGAGGCTGTGACATGTTATAACAAACTGGAAGGTACGAAATTAACGACTCTGCCCGGCCTTTCGGGACTTGCAAACCCTGAAGAGATGGCTGCCAGTCAGGCCGCCCAGCGCAGGCCTCGTAGAAAGCCAGACAGACAGGCGTCAAAAGACAGTCTGGCAGCCCGCCAGGCCTCACAAACAGGCAGGTTTCTGGCAGCAGAAACGGCCAGAGCCTTCCACCCTTTCCTTTAGTGTTTAGGGTTTAGGGTATCCTAAACCCTAAACCCTGAACCCTAAAGATTAAGCCCTAAAGGTTCAGGTTTGGGCAAGCTTCAGGCTGCCGAGCCCCCCCCCCCCCCCCAACCCTCCCTCTCTCTCTGTAGAGGTTTTAATAGGGACGGGCACGGGATGGGGATTTTTAGCTTTTCATCTTTTAGGGGTAGGGATTCCCGATGAATTACGCATGTCATGTGCGCGAAACACTGCCAATACCGGCAACACGGACGTTATCATTGCGCGGACATGGATGCTGTGGTAATATGGATGTTATCATCACGCGGACATGGATGCTCTGACCATTCGCATGCAGTCGCATGCAGTGGCAACACGGACGTTATCATCGTGCGGACATGGGTGCTCTGGTAACACGGACGTTGTCCTTGTGCGGCCATGGATGCTGTGACCATTTGCGCGCCAATGCACGCAGCGAAGCCGCGAAGTGTCGTAAATATCGATGTTTTAGGCATGTCCTGCGCGCGAAACACTGCAAATGTCGATGTACGCACCTCCTTGGAAAGTGCGGCAAACGAGGTACATGGAGCCTAACTTTTGTTAAGGGACTTACAGCCTAAGTTAGGATCCTTACAGCCCAATTTTAGGGTCACTAACTCTCTTACCACCAGGGGTTCCTGAAGCACTGCAACAAAACATTATCGGTTACCTATGAACCTGGTGAAGAGATCTACAGCCGCAATCTCCGGGGATTCGTCAGTAGCCTCCATGGCATTGGGCTTTCACTCGTGGCTTGGATTCAGGATTTATATGGCCTAGATTCAGGGATTAGGTTTTGGAGCTTAGGTTTCGTTTGTTTTCATATAGGAAAAAGATCTCGTCGAATATGTGTGTTTCGGCTTAGAGGCTAGTCTTGGACCCTAAACTCTAAACCCTCAACTTGGTTTTCCCTAAACTTGGTTTTCAAGCTTTAGGCATTTGGGTTTAGGTCTACTTTGCGTTGGGGCCGGCGAACCAGGAACCGAAATCAGAGAGAGTGAGAGAGAGAACGACAGAGAGAGAGGAGGGAGTTTAGAGTGAAGGGTTTCGGGTTCAGGGTAGTTTTAGGTTTAAGGCTTTAGGGTTTAATTAGGACAGAGAGAGAGAGAGAGAGAGACAGTGCGATATGCACATTAGCCTCTACGCAACGCCGCCCCTGCTCCCACTAGGCCTAGAAACCCTAAACCCGAGAGCCCTGGAGATTTCTTAGATCCCAACAACAAACCCGACCAAAGACCAACAAAACCGAAAGCCCCAAAGCCAACAACCCCAAAAGCTGAAGCCCCAAAGCCCAAAGCCAACAACCCTGAAACCCAAACATAGGGGTCGAAATAAATACTAGTAGCATTGCCGTATGGTCCCCATACAATCTAACGAATCATCACCCTCCCCCCCCCCCCCCCCCCCCAAAAAAAAAACATTTTAAGTATTCAGGCCCTTATCTTCGAACCCTGACAGTCCCCAAAGACCGCGCAGTTTTTCTTGGCCATCGCTGGCATGTGCGTCTTTCTTAGGGCAGTTTCATGGTCCCTTAGTACGGGCTCTTAAACCCTTGTACATCCCTTATATACCCTATACACAATAAGGGCCCATACATCAGAACCCTTTAATCGGAGCTTAGGGACCATATTAAGATCCTGAACCCTAGCCCGAACCCTAAACCCTAAACCCTAAACCCTAAACCCTAAACCCTAAACCCTAAACCCTAAACCCTAAACCCTAAACCCTAAACCCTAAACCCTAAACCCTAAACCCTAAACCCTAAACCCTAAACCCTAAACCCAAACCCCTAAACCCTAAACCCTAAGCCCTAAACCCTAAACCCACATCTTAAGGGCCCGTGAAACTACCCTCAGAGTCTTAGCCGGCACCTCTCCAGCTCCTACGCATAGGGCGCTCCAGCGCTCTTCAGGCGTTCTTGACAATGGTGTTGGTGTTAGGGTTTAGGGTTTAGGGTTAGGGGTTAGGGGTTAGGGGTTAGGGTTTGCAGAGTTTAGGTGTTGCAGGGTTTAGCCAAGTGAACGCAACGGCTTGGCATCACCGATTCTCGTGTGACCTAAACCCTAAGCCCTAAGCCCTAAGCCCTAAGCCCTAAGCCCTAAGCCCTAAGCCCTAAGCCCTAAACCCAAAACCCTAAACTCTAAATCCTAAACCCCGAAGCGCCGGGCAGCACTTTGCAGGGCACCAGGGATTCAGGGATCCACGCCGGGCTCACTCGGAAAGCTCTCCGCACTCCTGGAGCGCCGGGCTTCAAGCTTTTCGGGGGCCCCTGCAAGGTTTAGAGTTTAGGGTTTAGGGTTTAGGGTTTAGGGTTTAGGGTTTAGGGTTTAGGGTTTAGGGTTTAGGGTTTAGCGTTTAGGGCTTAGGGTTTAGGGGCCCTGTCGGGTTTTGGGTCTAGGGCTTCCTAAACACCCCAACCCCTTCAGCTCAACATCCGACATCTGAAGTAAGAGCTACAGCTCCTTTGGGTTTAGGGCTTCGGGGTTACCCTCAGGCTCCTACAGAGGGCCTGGTACGCTCCTGGTATTAAAGGCCCCAAGCCTGTCATCATGACGACCATCGAACCGGTTGCGAAGTGAGGACGTGCAGTGCCAAAGCTTATCATACTATTCCGCATTCCAGGGGTGTGTATGAGGGGACGGGGGGTCTAAACTTTGGCAGTGTCAGGGTGAGCTGC